CCACAAGAAGACTATATCCCAATTGCTGGGTCACTGCATGGGAGAAAGAAAGGTGGGCTGGAGAATTACCCTGCTCATATCAGGATTTGTATGAACAGGATATAAACCATTTTTATATAAAGACTCTGAGGCTTAAACCTGACTTTTCTGACTAATTCAATCCTTTATCTTTCACTGTTTCTATCCTTCTTTACTGCCTTGAACTATATGGAGATGCTTTGAACAAAGACTGGATTATTTGTGCTAAATCGGCTTAACGCAGTCTGCTAGTCCTTGGCAATAGCCTGAAGTAGCAGGTTTGGGGATGAAATGGGAAAACTCAACCTCACCTAGACTCTCTGAACAACTTGAGATCATATGTTTTGAATAGGGCTTTTGTTAAGCGTCCTTAACTCTTTCAAATGTATATTTTGAAGCATGTTTCCTTGGCAAGAAACATAATGTTCTCCTGAAAAGAAACCCCAAGAAAGAAATATCTCTGTTCAGCTGTCGGTGGTTTTGGCTCATGGTGACTTTCAGCTACTAATAAATAAGTAGTGATCACGAGCTGCTTCTAAACCTATTGCGGAATAGAAATGGTTTAGCAGCATGTTCAACCAGATGATTTTATGTTGGCCACCGCTCTAGTTAAGATTGTTTGGGTGGTGGATATTTTCCCGAGTATCAGCAATTCAGTTCTCAGTAGTTGAAGTCTTGTTGTTCTGGACAAGTGCACTGAATTACACGAACTGTTCAAAGCCTTGCAGAGCAGATTGATAGAGGACGTAGAGAACAACATTATTATTGTTTATTTGAGAGCTCATCAAGTAGGCTAATGCTAGCCAATGAAGTTAAGTGCAGCTCTTCAGAATTCCAGCAACTTCAAGCATCTGTTTAGCTTATCTGACAAAGTCTATCAAAACATGAAAAATGTCCAAATGTTTCAAAGGTTAATGAAAAGTATATCCTGTCCCTGTCAATCTAGGGAAGATTTTGTCTTGACTTTGTTGCTTAATGAATTAAACAAAAACCATGCGTTAGCAATATTTTCTTCACAAGATTCTAAAATAAATGTATCATTCTAACTTTAATGCCATAGGCATCATATATCTTGCAATTAAACATGCCAACATCCAAACATGTATTATAGGCAACCTAATTTCATCATATACACACCTTATTTATCTGAGTAATCAGCTAATAAAACTGATCATGTATAGATAAACAAGTGTTTATCTTGGGTTCCTTATTGACTGATTTATTCCAGGAATTTGTGATGCCGCTGCGCATCCTATTCTCTATCATGTGTAGGCTAGCCCTTAAATATAGTTGTTAACCATTGGACTTTATCAGGTGTTGTCAGTCATGATTGTCAACAATGTTTGGACCTAGCTCTAAGAGGTTCTGGAAGGTAACCAAGCAAACCTGATAGAAAAATGGAGTAGATATCAGAGGCAGAACTACAGCTGAGTCAACTTCGATGTGTTCAAGAAGCTGGATATGCTGAGTGATAAATGTGCTTAGTATTTCTAGAAAATTGAAAGTTGCCATTCTTGAAATACCATTTCTCAGAGGAGTCACAAAGCCTTTATGTTTGAAAAGTTAAAGATCTAAAATCAACCTTAGGGTTATAAAGAATTGGTATATTGCTGAAAGGTTAGCCACTTTCTAGCGGTGTCATGCTGGGAAGGGCACTTAAAGTCTTGGCCTCGGTTTTCTCATCTGTTAACTAGGAATAACAATAGTTGCCTGTCTTAGAGGGTGATAGTGAGGAATAAACAAGCTAATATATAGATGAAGTGCTGCAAATAGTTTCTAGCACATAATAAATGCTGTGTAAATGTTTGCTAATATTGTTTCAGGGATGCTATAATCACTCTATATAATGTAACAAATACTAAAGCTGTGCCAAAGAATGCTCTCAATGAAAACTGTGTTAAAGTAAGTTAATCCTTTTTATATGGGATAAAAATATTACTTCTAACAGCACTGTATTAATTTAAGATGACGATTCAGTTTTATGTGCCTGATGAAATAGGCCATAAGTGCTTTTTAAAAATAAATCCCAGATGGCATTTATCTCTTTATCATAAGATAAAGTCTAGAAAAATAGATAGTCATTTTCATTTTATAACAACCAAAGACACACAAAGATCAGGATGATGGATAAATGGGCCATTATTGTTATGACTAACTGGGTACCATTTATTTTTTAACAATCTTCTCATTCTTTGCCCAATAATTTCTAAATTCTGTTGGAAAGAAATTCACTTTTAAGTGTTTAAGGCTGAAGTTTTACTTTCATTTATATATAACTATTGAGTTAATATTAGAAAGACTGTGAAAGACAGGATATTATTTTAAAATATTGTTTTAATATTACTCAAATGATGAACATGTTCTTTGATAATAGGTGTCGCTGAATGTTTTCTGTAAAGGGCCAGGTAGTCAGTATTTGGGGTGTACATAAATATATAAAGGGCCATAGAGTCTCTGTCACAACCACTCACTCTGACAGTGCAGCAGGAAGGCAGCCACAGGCAACACGGAAACAAGGGGATGTGGTTGGTGTGCCAATGAACTGTATTTAAAGAAACAGGCAGCAGGAAGATGGATCTAATCTATGGCCCATGTTTGCTGACCCCTGTTCTATAGATTTGATTTGATTTTTTCTTAATTTTACTAGGGTAAATGATACATGCACACATATGTAATCTGTACTTGCACACTTATCTACATGGGTGAATGTGGACTTGAAAATCATGAAGATGAAGTACAAAAAATATGCATATTAAGGAATTTAAGGAAAATAAGGAATTTAAAGAGGATACAAAGCATGACATTTTATTCAGCATTCATTGACTAAGTACCCAAAGTACCTTTTTATTAGAACAAGGTCTATCATTTTATTTGTTTTTTAAAATCACCCTACAAGATTTAACTTGCTTTTAATCAAAACTATTCTTAAAATTCTTTAGTCTTCAGTTATTACATATTGTGTTACATAAATATATGTCATATGTACATTTATAAATATACTAGAGGCCCGGTGCACGAATTTCATGCACTGGGGGGAGGAGGGTGTCCCTCAGCCCAGCCTGCAGCCTCTCCAATCTGGGACATCCCTCTCACAATCTGGGACTGCTGGCTCCCAACTGCTCACCTGCCTGCCTGCCTGATTGCCCCTAATTACCCCCTAACCACTCCCCTGCCAGCCTGATCGCCCCCAACTGCCCACCCCTGCCGCATCGGTCACCCCCAGCTGCCCTCCCCTGCTGGCCTGGTCGCCCCTAACTGCCCTCCCCTGTAGGCCTGGTCTCCCCCAACTGCTCTCCCTCCCCTGCCAGCCTGGTTGCCCCCAACTGCCCTCCCCTGCTGGTCTGATCGCCCACAACTGCCCTCCCCTTCAGGCCATCTTGTGGCGGACATCTTGTGACCACGTGGGGGTGGCCATCTTGTGCGAGGGCATGATGGTAAATTTGCATATAACCTCTTTATTATATAGGATGATGTCATTTAAAAATATATTCCAAATTCGAGGACCACTGAACTAGAGTAAATGGAAAAAACAAAAATAGGAAAAACAAACAGGAAAAATAAAACTTTGTTCGGAGGTCTGGGTAGTCAATTATTTTTTCTAAACTAGCTATCAAATTATTTGAAGAAATTGAGAATTCCACTGTTTCTTCATGCCTATAGAATATTTTTTATTTTTAAAAAATGTTAAGCCTTTCTACCTTTAATATGCATTAACAGACTTGTTCTCCACTGTACATCACATGTGATGGCTTACAGATCAAATGAGATAATTACATGTAAAAGCACTTAATAGAGGACCTGAGCCAGTCAGTGTTTGTTATTTTTTCATCGAACCCTTGCCTGCTCATATCCATATGCACACTGTTCTCGGAAAGGTCATGGAGAAGAACAGAGCCACCTGCTTCTTGTCTTTTCAAGTTTACATTTCCTACTGGAAGAAGAATTAATAGCTCTCAATCTCATTTTGAGTCTTAGGGTTCATTCTTGAGGTCATGGAGAAGAACAGAGCCACCTGCTTCTTGTCTTCAAGTTTACATGTCCTACTGGAAGAAGAATTAATAGCTATCAATCTCATTTTGAGTCTTAGGGTTCATTCTTGTACAGCAACATCTTTCCTGAGGATATGATGGGGTCCACCCTATCAGGGGTGAAATCATACAGGCCCTGATGAAAACACGTGGAGATACTTAGATTTAGACACCCATTGTAAGACAGCAGGACTTCAAACTGGGCCTAAACTCTGCCCCTTGCATTTAAGGACAATTATTTATGTATGGTTCGCCCTTTGTAGTCTTCTCTGTAGATAAAGATGATTACACCTGAATGGCTTATGAGGGACAAAACAAGCCCAGTGCCTTCTAGTAATTGTTTTTTTCTAGGCACCACATTAGTAGGAAGTATTCTGTATTGTTCTAGTGGAATTTCTAAGCAGAAGTAATAATCTACAATGACTTTTAGGATTCTGTATGTCAAAATAATTTTAGTACCTTTAGAGAAAATTTAATTCATTGTTAAGAAAAAAAAAGTCCTCTCCATCCTATGCTAGGGAGAGTCAATACAAACTGGGCAGGAGGCCCAGTCCTTTAAAGCTAACTGGATATAATTAACAATCTACCAGGATAAATACATTCTCTTGGGAGAGAATACAAAGGCCTACAATTTATTAGCTGAAAACAACTTAAACTTTATTTTTCCTTGGATATAATATATATGTAGCTTCACTGGAGTGAAGCTGAAAAGCAAGAAAAAGTTTGCAACAATTAGCATTTTCACTGCTCTTTTCCATACCACTGAAAGAGTACCTAATAGATTGTAAATATTCAATGTTATGACTATAAAGAGCCACCCTGGAATTTATCTCTTGGTCTCTTAGTTACCCAATATAAAAAGAGAAAGACACAAGTTGAATTTGGTGTCTATTTACATGATGTAATTAAGTGTACATGGATCAGAGAGTAAATTATTGATTTTTTTTTTTACAGAAAGAAGCCAGAACCTATTATTAACCCTTTGAGAACACAACGTAACAATCTTTACCATTTTACTACTTCCTTGAATAGGTAAGCCTCATCACAATTGTGAAAAATAACTATTAACTATATTTTTAAATATCTTTTTAAAATGAATATAAATTCATTTTGATAAGGGAGAAATACACATGAATTCTACAGTTAATACAATTAGGATCATCAAAACAACACTTAATGTTTTGAATGATTTAATAGTAAACAGATGAAAAGATATTTTTCTGAAATGAGGATTAAACTAAGCTTCACTTCTGCTATGACTACCAATACCAGTGGTATTTTATCAACATTTACTATGTGCCAGACTTGGTCCTATATGACTTACTTTGCATAACTTAAATCATTTATTCCTTACAACAAACAACCCTGTGAGTAAATGACAGGGATCATCCCCATTTTATAAATTAGAGGCATGAGACAAGAGAGAGAGGAGGCAGGCACCTGTAATTCACCCAAGGTGGTATACTAGTACATGGGTCTGGGAGCAGCCGACACTGGAAAGAACACCAACCCCAGCTGCTGTTGTAGGAGTAGTTTCACGTTGTGACAGAAAAGTCTAGCAATCAGGTCCACCTATGTTTTGAGTTGGTTCTATTTGAATTTATAAAAGAAAAAAATATATAATGAATTTACTGAAAAAGCCACAGTAGGCAAACATTTATTTCAGGTTTGTATTTGTTACTTTATAATTGTTGCATGAGTAAATAAAGAAATGTATACACTTAGCTCAGTTTACAAGCAGAAATAATATTTTTCTTTATTTTACATCTTTCTTTAAACTCAAAATTCCTATAATAAAAGGAGAATAATATTACAGAAAGAATGATTTTTTTATTCTAGGAAATGAATAATGCATTTTAATCTAATTTCTTTTTATTAGAGGTACTGAATATCCCATCTTAAGTTGGCCACAGCAATATATGCTGTATTGCTTTTATTTCTTTATTATTTTATTTTTAATCAAGAAAAAATACAAAATTTTCAAAGAGAAATATAGAAAATTTATAATAAATAATCTAAGTATAAGTCCCATGGATTAAGCCAATGCTAACAGTCAGCTTTATTCAAATCTTTTTTAAGTTTATAATTTCATTACAGTCGATATACACTATTATATTAGTTTCAGGTATGCAACACAGTGATTAGACATTTATATACCTTATGGAGTGATCACCACATATGATGTTCAAATCTTTTCTAAAGAAATAAACCATCACCGAAAGAGCAAAAACTCTCCCTGCTCCCTTTCCTTTCTTCCTAAAAGGTGCACAGTCTTGAAGATGATGTAACCTTCTCTTTGTCTGTTTGATACTTGAATGACATGTGCATGAAACAATATGCCATATGATTGTTTACATCTTAAGAGTTTACATAAATGGCATCATACTCTAGATATTCTTTTGCAGCTTGCCTTCACCTAACATTATATTGAGAGTTCCATCCATTTTGATATAGGAAGATCTGGTTGACTCATTCTGTCAGCAAGTTGGTTCATTTTAATGTTTCAATCATGTGGTGCATAGTACTAATTTAATATTACTTTTAAATGACGTTCAGCATCTTGAAGATGGTTTAAGCATGGCTATCAAAGCATGTTCAGGAATCCAAAGTTCTTAATACATGATGCCATGACAGTTGGGTTTATGTTTCTTTTTTTTTGCTCATTAGAAAAGCCCGCCTTTTTTTATCAGCTATAATGATCTTGCTAATTAATGGGACTCATGATTCACTGATTTTGTCATAACACAATAACTGAAATATGATTTATTTCCCCATAGGTGAAATATTGACTATTCCTAAAAACAAAATACTACCTTTGAAATTAAAAGATACTTAAAAGAAAAAGTCTTCTTTGCCCCATGTTAATAGCTTATATTCTTTTCAAAAATCATGGGAGAAAGAACCTTTTTTTAAAAAATGATTTTTCCTAATTTTCTCAAACACACTTAATTCTAGAATTTATTTAAGGTAAAATAAATGTCAATAAACAGTAGTAATATTTATAGATATAGAATCTTTCATATATTTGTAGGGGAGAAAGAAGAGATAAACTAACATTTGCTGGGCAAATATTAGTAAGTGCAAAGTATTATGTAAGCCTCACAGGTCAGAAGTGCATGGCAATTTTGCAGATGAGGAAATCGAGGCCCAAATATGTCTGGTAAGTTACTCAAGATCAGATGCTAATTGCAGAGCCTGAAGTCAAACTCATTGCTCTCAGACTCCAACGTTACAATGCCGACCAGAAAAGAATTGGGAGCACCTAACCTATTTGACACAAAACTATCAGTTTAATTCATTCCACCAAAATTTATTTGGATTCTTTTAAGTAAGTTGAGAAGGCTGATGTTAGAAAAACAAAGAAAACACAATATCTACCTACAGTGAGAAAACAGGCCATTGGGAAGAGCAGTGATTCATTCAGTGATACCATAAATGTGACTATTTCATTAGATACCTCTATTTTGCTTTGTTATCTTGACATCGTTTAGCTTTGCAATCATTGAACCGTGCCAATTAGATTAAATCGAATGGGATAACAGGAATGAAAATGCTTTATAAAAGTCTTTGCAGTTATTTGCTAATATTACTAATTATTCTGTAAAATTTAGAATTAAAAATTTCAAACCTAATACATTTAACCTGTTTACACTATCAGTCTCTTGGTCTTTTGGCTTCCTCCTCTTTTTCAGACTTCCTAGGTATCAGTTTGGGTGGAAAGAAGAGAGAAGACTTCATATTAAAATTGCTACCAAGAAGAGAAACCAGATGAGGTTACAGTGCACGAAAGAGTAATAGAAACGGTTTTTCCATGTTCTGGAATTTTCAAGCATTGATACCCCATTTAAATTCAGGACTTAAAACGAAAACCAGCCCTGGCTAGTGTGGCTCAGTTGGTTGGGTGTTGCCCCGTGCACCAAAAGGTTGCTGGTTCAATCCCTGGTCAGGAGGCAGCCAATTGATGTTTCTTTTTTTTTTATTATTGCTTAAAGTATTATTACAAAGAGTATTACATATGTCTCTTTTTTTTTCTCCCCTTGACCTTCCCCTAGCCTCCCATACCCCCCAGTGTCTTATGTCCATTGGTTATGCTTATATGCATGCATACAAGTCCTTCGGTTGATCTCTTACCCACCCCACCCCCAACCATTAATGGGACTCTTGTTCTGCCCATAACAATCAGAATCATTCCCACACTCCTCTAAATGTAAAAAATTGATATATCATCATCTTTTGGGCACAGAAGCCCCCTGTAAACATTATAGAGTAGTAAACAGCCCTGACAATTGGTCTCATTCCACTGTCTATTAGAGGCATATTATTTAACTTGCTTAAGCCTCATAGCACCAAGATCATGCCTGTCCAGAATTTGCTGTTTCTCATGATCTCTGCCTATATCATTGGAATCCACTCTCTTACCTTGACTCCTGCAGTAGCCTCCTGTGCTTAGTCTTTCTGACCTCTCATCTGTTGTTCACTTAGTGTGGCCTTTACTAGATCTTAATCCATTGACAGGACTCTTTTTTTAGATTGTTTTATTGCTTAAAGTATTACAAAGAGTTTTATATATGTCTCCTTTTTTTTTCTCCCCTTGACCTTCCCCTAGCCTCCCATACCCCCCAGTGTCTTATGTCCATTGGTTATGCTTATATGCATGCATACAAGTCCTTCGGTTGATCTCTTACCCACCCCACCCCCAACCATTAATGGGACTCTTGTTCTGCCCATAACAATCAGAATCATTCCCACACTCATACTGTGATCCAGCAAGATGCTATATAACCCATCTTCTAGCTCCCTGATATCATCTCAATATTCTCTCCTCCCACTGAGAGGAGAGACTGTGTGACATTCTGAGCTGTGTGTAGAGTAGTGTCTTTATCTTGATGGACCCTCACTTGTTGAAGGACCGAATGAGTATGCAAGGGTTAATCTGGAATGATGCTCAGCACACAGTATCTTTAATGCACATCAGTGATGGCTGTTGCCCTTTTGAAGGTTTCTTCAGTTTGTCTTAATGGAGTGCAGCAATTCTGAAATGCTAACAAGCTTTCATGGATGTTTTTGACACGTCATATTACAGCATTATGACAAAACTTTATTCTACTAATATGTAATCTTGAATCTTAATAGTACCTAGCCTCCCATACCCCCCAGTGTCTTGTGTCCATTGGTTATGCTTATATGCATGCATACAAGTCCTTCGGTTGATCTCTTACCCACCCCGCCAACCATTGATGGGACTCTTGTTCTGCCCATAACAGTCAGAATCATTCCCACACTTATACTGTGATCCAGCAAGATGCTATATAACCCATCTTCTAGCTCCCTGATATCATCTCAATATTCTCTCCTCCCACTGAGAGGAGAGACTGTGTGACATTCTGAGCTGTGTGTAGAGTAGTGTCTTTATCTTGATGGACCCTCACTTGTTGAAGGACCGAATGAGTATGCAAGGGTTAATCTGGAATGATGCTCAGCACACAGTATCTTTAATGCACATCAGTGATGGCTGTTGCCCTTTTGAAGGTTTCTTCAGTTTGTCTTAATGGAGTGCAGCAATTCTGAAATGCTAACAAGCTTTCATGGATGTTTTTGACACGTCATTTTACAGCATTATGACAAAACTTTATTCTAATATGTAATCTTGAATCTTAATAGACCAAAAACACAGAGACAAATTAGGGACAAATTAGAATGAGAAAACCATTTTAAAAGATCAAAAATATTTATTTTATTATTCCATGCAGATCTTCTATCTATACAACAAGATTTGGTACACCCTGACATTGCTTAGATTTTGCTTTATTTTCAGAATATATTTGTATTTTTCATCATTTATAAGATGGCGAAGTCTAGCCTTTAGACAATTTTCTATAAAATAGGATGATTTTTTGTTTTATTTTTTCAATATTCCTTAGGAGCAGCACTGGATGAGTGTTTACATTGTTGAGAACATTTGGCAAGAGAAAGACAAACAGTAGGACCACAGTACCCCAATGACTAAGGAAAAGAGAAAGAAAATGTATTGTCACCATGCTCTCCGAAAATAAAATACCTTGATTTGTGCTGATTACTGTCTCATCAGCATTCAGCTCTGGTCCATGGCACTCTATGTGAACAATTTTAAAGGCACATTTAACATTCTAAAAATAGATTCTATTGGTAAATTAGAATGTCAGATGGCCCCTTTATGAAAGCCTACCCTAATCTGTCCTGTCAGTCCGCAGGCATATCCAGACCTCAGACTGTTCTGGCTCTTGGTGAGCAAGAACCTGTTCCAGGGGTGAGGTTCTGAAGAGGGGTGTCTCATGGTTAACTAGAGACAGAAAGAGGGAGAATTGCCCACATACTCCAGCAGGAGTTAAAATAACAATAACAGTTCTCCTACTTAACAGGCTGACTCAGAAGCACATTCTACTGACTTTTCGGCAGTTCCGAGCAGATTGTTTGGGCTGCAATTCTGCAGGCAGAGGTGGGCACCACCTGCTGCAAAGGCTGTAGTTCTTGTTAGGAGGGTGCTGTTAGTAAGTCTTGCCTTTTAACAGTTGGGCCAAACGGAGATAGGAAAAGACAAAAATTTGGTGCTGATGAGTGCTGCCTTGTTCTAATACCTAGAATAACAGAATGGTGTTCTAGGAATGGATATTATGCGTTTAGTTCAGGGGTGGGCAAACTTTTTGACTCGAGGGCCTATTTCAATAGTTTTATTCATTTCAAACATTTTAACAAGAAGAATGTAAACACTAATTATTATAATTTGAAACTTCAAAAAATGGAGGAATCATAGCACAATAACATACCTTATATTGAAGATGGCAAAGGCTCTGATACTGTGCTCTCCAGGGGCGTGTCTCCCTACATCACCACGATAACGTGTCTACCCATTCCCAGGGTGATGTCGGGAGACGCGTCCGAGGGCATTACAAGGAGCCTCTGGAAGATTGAGAGGTTGTTCCTTCTACTGAATGGGCGGATGTAAATCCGCCCACTCAGAAGAAGGAGCTGCGGCCGTGTTTCCCGACGTTGCCATGTTAACACTGCTGCTGGTGAAGGAGCGGAGGGGAGAGCAAGAGAACCCTCCGCTCTTTCGGCTCCGCGGGCCGGATAGAACAGCTGAACGGGCCGGATCTGGCCCGAGGGCCGTAGTTTGCCCACGGCTGGTTTAGTTCTTTTACTGGCCATGAGTATAAATCACTTAGTGTGGGAGGTCTTGTAAGTTAAATCTCGCTGGATGTTTGCCTTCAGAAAATTCTGTACACCAGTTGTGGCAGCCTTATCTCAGTCAATTAGGAAAGGCCTTGAAGCCAATTAGAAGTCTGGTTTTTGCTTAAGTAGAAGGAGAAAAATTATTATGTGGTTACTGAGTTACCTCATCCTACAAAGGCTGGGCACTCTTACTCCTTCAGCCCAGCCTCCCGTACATTTACCTGTACCCTTCACTGGCCTTGGGCGAGTATGCTTTATCCTGATTCTTATAACCCGACTCCTGCATGCTGGCATCATATGGTCTTTCATATACATCAGATCATTTATTTTTGCTACTTAAAATTTTCCTGTAGTACAAAGGTCCGAACTCATTAAAGGCCTTTCAAAACAGGGCTCCAAACAACCATTTCTGGACAACCTCAAATCCCTCCCACTTATTCAACTGCCTTTCCTTCATTCTGACCACAGCAATTCGAATGTCATTTCTTCTATGAAGGTCTCTTCTCCAGTCCTCAAATGGTAGTAATTGTTCCTTTGGGGGAGAAGGGGCTTTCATTGTCTTTTAAACATCCCTAGATGACCAAAAAATCATCTCGGTGTATAATTATTTTCACCTCTGCTTTTGTCCTCAGCTCTGTGAAGTCTTCAAAGGCAAAAGTTCTGTCTTTTCTATATTTGTGCCTCCAGAACCATGTTATTAGATTTGAAAGAAAAATAATATTTTTAAAAATGTTTATAGTTCATAACAATAATACGTAATGAGTAGATATGATTGAAAGTGTAAGTGGTAAATAAATGAGGAATTGAGGAGGTGAAAAAGAAATGAGCAGTAGCCCTATGTAGCATATTTACAAAATAGGTTTTATGGTGGTGGTTTTATTTTTATTATATTTTTGTCATTTCTTTTGTATGTGTGGTTGTTTGTTTGTTTTGGATAGGGAAAAAAGACTATGCTTTTACTTAGGAAGTAAGGGAAGGAAGAAGCCGACACTGTGAGACCACAAAGGGATATTTAAGGAAAAGAAGCTTTGGAGGAGGCAGGAAACAATATGTTAAAGAGCAAATAGAGAGACTAATATTAATAAAAATGAGGGCCCCCTATTCCTCTAAAGAAAAGCTATTCATTGGGGAGAGTTACTTAAATTGGTTTTATTTAACCCTATTACTTCTATTAGTCTGATCCTTTTAAAAAAATGTCATTATACTTTTCTTCAAACCAAGTATATAAGTTAGGATTGGCTAGCTGCTAAAACAAATAGATCCAGAAATGTGTTGAAACTTTATTTCTGGCTCATTGAACTGTCTGGATGAGTATGTGGGTTGGGAGGCTGTCTGTCCTCTTCATAGTCAACCAGGGATCCCAAATTCTTCCATTTGTGTCTTTACTTTGTCATTTTCTTCATCCAGCTAGTAGGAGGGCAAAGAGCAAAGAGAAGCACATGGGAGTTGTATAGAGCCAAATCTAGAAGCGAACTTACCACTTCTGTTCACATTTCATTGTTTGGAACTGAGCCACATGACCACACCTGCTATGTGCTCAGGAAAAAGGTGAAAGATTTCGGCAAACTGCTAGCAGTCTCTGTTATACCAAGGCAAAAACCTGTCTACAGAATTAATGTATTTGACATTTGGATCAAATAGTTCCAGCCCTGGTAGAGTAGATACCAATTACACCATAGAGATAGAACTGTAAATTATAATTTCAGTGTCACATTAAAATAGTGAATATATTTGATACATCAGTTTATCAAAGTTAATTCTTACAGTAAGACTCAAATAAGATATTTTTAAAACCCTTCTTATAGAAATATGCATTATGTCCAGAAGGATAATAACAAAATAAATTATAGTGCCTAGTACTGCTTATTTTTCTTCAAGAACTTCTTGCTAAATGAATCAATCAATTAATAGATGTAGAAAGCTTCATTAGGAAAAAATAAGTATTTGTACTTTCATGAATTTCCAAAATTCATCATAAAAAGACATGAATTAGGATGATCTAAATTCATTTTGAACTGAAGGATGTGCCCTTTTAAAGAAAAATAACATGTAAAGGTAAAATAATGAGCAAAGATTTTGAAAAAACATGATGTTTTGGTGAACTTACGAATATTCATCTGTAGGCCTCACATCATATTTTGCATTTGCTCTCTGCTGTTTGTTCAGATGGTGGTAACGCTGCTATTTTTTTTTGGAGGGTAACAGTTCATTTGATTGTTTTATATGTATAGCGTATTGTGTCAGTGTTGAGTCAAAGCCATTCCACCAGCTAAATCTTCTACAAAATAAACTTTGCTGCTAAATAAATGTCACAGTTTCAGTTTTCTGTGACTGCAGAATGCTTGGGTTTTTGTGAAAATACTGCATTGCAGTGAGTGTATGATCAACTGTTTTTTCCTTGAAGGTTAAAACTCCTTTCTTTTTGAGAGTAAGCAGCAATTTAATCAAGTTTTCATGGCATCCAAGAGCATTTTAAAATGAATGTACCCCAATAAAACTGGCCTCTTCTGCAAGTGTATACGAAAAGGCAGTTAGATGCGTCAGCCTGTGGGAACAGAATGGAGAATGAACCTGAGGCTGAGACCTTAAAGCGTCTCTGTCAGATCTTTCTTCCTGAGAAGTATAATGACTTACTTGAACCTGCCAATTCCTGCGATTAATTTTTACTCTTTTTTTCCTCACCCACCCTCTGCACTTTCTTGTAATGAATTTCAAGGACTCCAGTCATACCATGTGCACAGTAATTACTACAGAAGGCAGTTTGATTCTGAGACAGCTGAGTCTCTGTAAGAGAAATTTAGAATTTACTAAAGCACATACTTTAGTGAGGGGGTGCAAAGGCTTGAGTCATTTAAAAGCATTTTGAACGGGCTCTAGGAAAGATCCGGTAGTAATCAATCCTGAGTAAAGAGCAGAGGGCAAAACAATCAAAAAGACCCTTTTCCAAGACGAATTGCTGTGGTACCAGAAAGTTCTTGCTACTGGGAAGCAGTGTGTAAGCCTTTTTGTTTTGGTTGGTGTATTCCTTTGTGGCATATGTTTACAACTGGAGTGGGTCTTATTTTTGGAACCTAAGAACTCTAAAGCAAACTTTTAAAATCAAGAGGAATTGAAACATATATAGCAACATAAGGTAATATAACACATTACGCATGCACGCACGGATATAATATATATAAAATATCAATGGATCATTTAATTACACACTGTAAAAGTGTTATTTGAATGGAACACGAGGACCAGGAAATTATTTCTTCAGTGAAGCTCTGTAGGGAAATGCCATACTGGTGGATAATTTATATATAATTTTCTCACTGGGGAGTTGAGTAATAGTAGTGTACAGTTTAAAATATTTGTATATAGAGAATACATAGGAAATCCTTCTGCTTTATATTTTTCACGATGGTTTAAATCATGACAAGCCTATCCTGCGACTCTTGATTTTGGCACTCAGAATGTACCGACTTCTAATCCTCTCAGCACCCCGGTGAGCAGCGCTGCCAGCATCTCTGGGCCGGCCAGTGGAGGGGCTTCCTGAACTCTGTTTCCGGTCTTGCCCTGCTGTGCTCTGCTTTTCACACAGCACCATATGGTCTTTCAAACAATTATTACCACTTGCTCAGAATCCTGAAAGGGTTTCTCATCATACTTTTCCCCAGTTTCATTGACATATAATCGACATATAACACTGTATATGTTTAAGGTGTACAGTGTGTTGATTTGATGCACTTATATATTACTAAGTGACCACCACCATAGCATTTGCTAACACCTCCATCATGTCACATAATTACCGTTTCTTTTTTGTGCTGCGAACATTTAGATCTACTCTGTTACCAACTTACAAGTATACAAATACTGTTAAATATAATCATCTGTACATTGGATCCCCAAAATTTACTGGTCTTAAAACTGTACCCTTGACCAACATCTCCCTATTTCACCCCTTCCCATCATACTCAGAAATAAATCCAAACACATGACCTGGCTCTGCTTAGCTTTCATAGCACTCTTCTTTATCTCACTTCAAGTCAGACATAAACACATCAAGCTCATTCCCACCCCAGAACCTTTACACCTAAAGCACATATTTCCTTCCTGGAACATTCTAACCCCAGTTCTTTGTATAGCTAGCACCCTCCACATCATTTGAGTCTTGCTTCTGAGCTTACCTCCTTGAAGATGCTTCCCTGAACACCCTATTGAAAATAGTGCCTTTCTCATGCCTTGCGAGCTTCTTCTCATTTTAAATTTTATATTAAATATATTAAATATTAAATTTAATACTTTAATATTAAATAATACATTTTATGTATCTTAATGAAGTGCTTGGTTCCTGTATGATTACCTCATCAAAATGCAACTTTTATGAGGATAGGAATTTTGTATGATCTGTGGCACATTGAGAGACTTCCCTGTGTCTCAAAATAAATATCTCATATCTTTCCCTCATTACCAATCCCACTACTACTGTAATTCAAATTCTTATATGCTTTCTCATCAGTTATAACATTATTGTCCATCTGCACACCTTTCCTGTTTCTGATCATAACCTTCTACAGCTCTTTCTCTGGTTCATCTTGTTATTTATCTGCTCAATGTTTCCCAGAAATATTTCATTAATAATGATAAAATTTATACTACACAGCCTGACAAATGAGATATTCATCATCTGGACACTTGCCTCTCTGGAGTATTTTCCACTACTCCTGTTTTGTTGTTGTTGTTTGTTTGTTTTTTAAATATGTTTTTATTGATTTTAGAGAGAGAGGAAGGGAGAGGGATAGAGAGATAGAAGCATCAATGACAGAGAAACATCGATCGGCTGCCTCCTGCACACCCCCTACTGGGATAGAGCCCGCAACCCAGACATGCGCCCTGACCAGGAATCGAACCAGGGACCTCTTGGTTCATGGGTCAGTGCTCAACCACTGACCCACACTGTCCAGGCACTACTCCTGTTTTGGACATTCTGAAACATCTTGATGTTTCCAGTTCTCTTATACCCCCATGTCTATTGTGTGTGTGTGTGTGTGTGTGTGTGTGTGTGTGTGTATAAAATTATGCCCTTGTCCACCATGAATGCCCTTCAAGACTGAAAGCAAGGTTTGCCATTCTGAAGTCTCCCATGAATTTTCTCATTTTATAGGAACTTCCATAGAATCCCTTTATACTTCTATTAAAGTATTTATAGTATTGTCACCTAACTAAATTTATAATTAAACTAGAGGCCCGGTGCACAAAAATTTGTGCACTGGTGGTGGGGGGTGTCCCTCAGCCCCACTTGTGCCCTCTCACAGTCTGGGACCCCTC